CCATCTCCATGAGAGTAGACCCTTTCTTGGCATCCAAAGCCACTACCTCATCATCTGTCTGTAGGGATACAACCACCGTACCAAAGCTTTGAAATCTGCATCCTAAGTTCCAGAGAGAGCCCAAAACTGACTGCTTAAACTACCGCAGTGGTTCTAGAACCTGATGTCCATAACACAACACACATCTTTCATGGCAGACTTTTGATATCCAGGTTGGCCTCAAAAGTTATTGTCAACCCACCAAGGTCTGGAACTTTTCTCAAATACGAAGGCACAATTACTGCCTATGAATGGGCAATTAGGAACAGGACTTTTAAGTACAAACCACACACTGTCCTTCCTTCTTGATTCTTCCCAAGATAATGGCTATTCCCTGGCATGCCTGTATGCAGCACAATGACAAAAAACAAACAAACAAATAAAGCAGTATCAAGGTAACCACACATGGACTAACCTTGCCTCCCAGGCCTTGATCAAAGGCTCAGTAATTATTTCACGCACATCCACCCATCAGAGCCCAATCTTGCACTTGTTGGAATGGGGGCACTTTTCAGCCAAAAAAATGGGCTGAAAATCTCGGCTTATACTCGAGTATATACGGTATGTGGGCATCTACTAAATGATGTGTGCACTAATACACCACATTGGCTGAATGAGACACAAGATTCTGTTGGGTCCTGGCAGACCCAAGTATTACTGGATGCCTCAAAACGTGTTGTTCTTAATAGGACATCTGCCCATCACAATAATCATGTGTGACCGAGCTCAGACACAAGCACAGAAACATACCTCCCAACAGTTTGGAGGGAATGTCTCTCATTTGGAATCAAATTCCTCTATCCCTGTTTCCTCCTCCAACGTCCCCTTTTTTGGTCTGATGTACAGATATCTATAAAATTATATTATATAGCACCAACGATTTTACACAGGGCTTTACATTCACATCAGTCCCTACCCTCAAGGAGCTTAGAATCCAAGGTCACTAGCTCACATGCATACAGGGCCAATTTTTTTAGACAAGAGCCAATTAACCATCCAGCATGTCTTTGGCGTGTGGGAGTAAACGGAGCACCTGGAGGAAACCCACGCAAGCACAGAGGAGAACATGCAAACTCCTTGCAGATAGTGTCCTAACCAGTGAACCCTGGAGCTGCATGACAGAAGTGCTAACCACTACACCACTGTTATCTCTTTCTTATGTTGTCTACTATTTCGAAGGGCCAGTATAAAGGAAAAGGAATGCTGAAAAAAAACAATTACGGTTCTCACCAATCATTTTTGGCATATTTATTCTTAATAGTCTGCATAACTGGGAATGTGGCAGTGGCATGTCCATGACCTTAATACATTAAGCTGGAAGGTGTTCCTCTTTCTTACCTCAGAAAGCTGGGAGGTAAGCAGAAGTAATGGACCCATACAGCCTTGCATAAAGCTTCAAGTGACTAAGCCTTTGTTTACTTCTGCAAAAATGGCTAGACTCTGACCCTAACCTTAACCCTAAGGGTTCAGTAAGGTAGACTGTCCACACAAGCACAGAATGTTAAAGAGCATCCAGAACTCATGTTAGAACTTCCCACCTCTGGCCCTGGCTTCAGCGTTCTCCAGTTTGGGTATGGCATTTAGGAGAACAATGACTGCAGTGTGAATCCCAAAACACAATGCAGAAAGTATTTTATTTAGCATGGATTAGCACAAAGTGATGCAAATATTTCTCTGGGCGCATGCGTGTATTGCTCATTACATTATTTTTGTCTCGGGATTAAGGCCTGGTTCACACCTGGGCGTTTTACAGCGAGTTCCTACGCGCTGTAAAACGCTCAACATGTGAAAACCAATAATTGCCTATGGGCATGGTTCCCACCTGAGCGCTGTAAAACGCCCTACGCCCAAAGAAGTACAGGAGCTTCTTTGGGGCGTATTTGCCGCGTGTATCCATTAGGATACAGTCGGCTAGCCCTCGGAAACACGCATTTGTCGCACGTTTCTTTTACCGCAACTCACGGTAAAAACGCGCTGCACGAAACGCGCAGCAAACGCGCATATTCCGTACGCCCAGGTGTGAACCCAGCCTAAGGGAGTCTTTGGTGTAGGCTAGGAAAGTGTGTAAAGTGCCACATTTTGATGCCCAGGTTTGTAGGACCTCTGCTCTATATGCCATACAATGGGATGAACAAATATGTAGATCACAAATGTAGTTCAAATTGCACTCACATAAAGAACTTTAATATGATGATTTCCTAATTGCACCAGCTGTATTATCCTAATGCTATATTTTAAAGTGACACACAGGAGCGAGTTTGGAGCGGTGGCTACTTTACAACACACAGGGACCATGGGGAAGAAAAGTAGCCACCCTCCAGAAGGAAGGACAGTGTCAGCACCAATTCAGAGATGATTTGAAGATCTAAGCCCTCGTTCACACCTGACCGTTTTGTAGAGCATTCGACGAACGCTCTACAAAACGGTAAAAAATATAAATTGCATTGTAGTCAATGGTCTCGTTCCCACCTTGCCGTATTTCCACCCGTCCCTAACGCCCTACAAAACGGCCCATGCCTGAAAAGGTCCAGGTACTACTTTGGGCCGTTTTGTAGGGCGTTTCCATTGGGATACAGCCAAGTAGCCTTCGGAAACGCGCGACGGTCGCGTGACTTTTTTACCGCGTGTCGCAGTAAAAAACCGCGCGACAGACGCGCATATGCAATACGCCTAGGTGTGAACGAGGGCTACAAATAAGGTACAGTATTGTTAATAGTTAGGGTACTTGAATGTATTTTTAAGATTTAACTCCAGAGTTTAGTGTCACTTTAATGTTAGATTCTTTTCCTTTTTCCACACTTTAATGTCTCATCTATGCTAAGTAACATTCCATCATGTTGTCTGTTTTTATACATGATCTAAGAAACAGACAGCACCACATTAGAAAACCTGATTGTTTAGTTTAGATGACAGATAAGCAGGTTGGAATTACAATTACAAGGGCTGCATATTTTCTTTCAGGTAGAGTAATGTGTACAAAGGATTCCATGACCCTTTGTGCAGTCTAGTGTTTTCAAACAGAGTAAACCACTAATAAGCTCATCCCCAAAGGCAGTTCGGTGTTCCTCAGCTAGTTTTTCAGGATAATGCTTCCAGGTACCTGGAGAAGGAAACTAACTTCAAGCCATTTACTAAACGTCATGGTGTTTTATTTACAGTTAAAGTGATATTAAGGCCCAGGGCAGACCTGAGCGATCCGGGACGCGCGTCCTGGGATCGAGCGGTTGTGCACAATTGCAGACCTGGATTGCCACGTGGCCCCATTGATTTCAATGGGCTACATCCGCATGGTAATCGCAGAAAAAAGGTACATGTACCTTTTTTTTGCGATACACGATGCGTGATCGTCGGTGACTGGCGACTCCGTGACCGTGCAGCAATCTGCGTGTTATCTTGCGGGATTGCCACACGGTCACAGATCGCCCATGTGTGCATCGGCCCTAAAGCTTTAGTTTTTGTTTTGTTTTTTATCAGTGGAAGGCCGTCATTAAAGAAGAACTATGAGGTGAGTGATTTCCACTCTTCCTCATAGTTAGAGCCGACCTGTGACAAAGAAGCTGTCACAGGTCGGCTCTATCGATCGGGAAGTGAGCAGAAACATGCAGCCGATCCGCTCATTTCCCGATCATCTCCCAGCAGTGAGGGGTGACTGTCAGTCACCGCTCCCCGCAGGGATTCCCCCCCTTCCCTCTCCAATCTTCCAGTGCTGAGTGGAGGAACGAACTGAGGAAGGGACGGGCACAGCTGGCTCAGCCTGTAGATAGGCAGAGCCAGCTGTCACTGACCACTGGTGTAAGGGGACTTCACTACCAACCAATGTAAAGGAGCAATTCACTGACCCCTGGTGTAAGGGGACTTCACTGCCCAGCAATGTAAAGGAGCAATTCACTGACCCCTGGTGTAAGGGAACTTCACTGCCCACCAATGTAAAGGAGCAATTCACTGACCCCTGGTGTAAGGGAACTTCACTGATCACCGATGTAGATGAGCAATTCACTCACTGCTGGTGTAAGGGGGCACTTTACTGACCACCAATGTAGAGGAGCAATTGCTGGTGTAAGGGGGCAATTTATAATGACCACCAATATAAATTAGCATTTTTACTGACTGTCAGTGTAAGGGGGAGTTCACTGAGTCCAGCAAATGTTTCAAGGAGCAATTGCTGGTGTAAGGGGGGCAATCAGGCCCGGATTTCCCACAAGGCCATACACTTTACTGACCCACACTGTAAGGGGACACTTTACTGACCACCACTGCAAAGGAACATTTCACTGACCACCAATGTAAAGGAACATTTCACTGACTGGCAGTGTAAGGGGGCACCTCACTGACCACCAGTTTAAAGGATCATTTCACTGCCCACTAGTGTAAGGGAACACTACCATTTTTACTGTTTGCATTTCTTTTCTTTATTAGCTTCTATTTAATTATTATTAGTGAAAATAATTGCAGCATAGAGCGGCCACATTCCTCATTCCTATACTTTCTGTTCATGTACCCTGAGCTGTAGATATCATATTTATTAGCTGTGCTCAGTTATTATGGATCCCTTTGTAGAGAAGGTGTGATTAAAGCATACATCTGCAGGGACTTGTGTCAGGGCTGTATGAGGGACCGGGGTTAATGGTGGAAGGTTTGCACAGTGTATGGGCACACAGCCATGGTTGTGAAATCACATTCAGGGCTGTATGATGGAAGAGGGTTAATGGTGGAAGGTTTACACAGTGTAATGGTTGTGAAATCAGTCAGAGATGTACGTCCTGGGAAGAGGAAGGGGCGGAGTCAGTGAGTGTGAAGGGAAGTAGAGGAGGAGGAGGGCTCTGTACCTGCCTGAGCTAAGCAGTGACAGTCCGGTCATCTGAGCTGGCACAGAGCTGTGTTGGGGGGCAGGGGAAAGGCTGGCACCCCGGAAGTAACAAAGGAGCCGGGACGCTACTCTCCTAGTCATCACTGATTGATCTGTGTGGGAACACTTGATGGCAGCTTGGTGATCAGGAAGGGTCAATGCCAGCTGGTGACAGCCCACAGGCAGCTATTGTGTGATCTGCCCAGGATGTACAGCTGGTTCTGTGTGTGCTTGGTGCTGTCCGCCTTGTGCCCCTTCGGCTTCTCCGGGCACTTTCTGGAATGCTTCACCGCCTTGGTCCGCACGGAGTACACGGAGCCTCTGACCAACAGCACTGTGCACGGCTCCACCGAGAGTGGCCGCTATGGGGACAGCTCCCCCAAGGAGAGCGTACAGGGTCTGGTGGGCTTCCCTCGGGATCCCAGACATCTGGAGGGCTGCCACCCCGACACACATTACGTAGTGCCTGGCATGAGCCCCCGGGCGATGGACGAGGGAGAGCCCTGGATAGCATTGGTAGCCCGGGGAGGCTGCACCTTCAAGGACAAAGTGGTGAACGCTGCCCGCAGGAAGGCATCGGCAGTGGTTATCTACAATGATGCCAAGAGTGGCAATGACACCGTACCCATGGCCCACCTAGGTAAGCCTCCCAGCTGCTCTGTTGTCTGTGTGTGTCCTATTGTTCCTTGGATGAGCCCTCCTGACCCCCCATAGCAGATGATCTTTGTGTATGTACATACCCTTTTATGTGCCTGATAATTTTACATCACACTTTCTCAACAAAGGGACCCATGGAAAAAACTTTCAGCTCACAGGGAACCCCAGCGAATCATTACTATTAAGAATGAGGTATACTTTGCTGATTTGACACCCGCTCTATGCCACAATTATTTCAGGGATAATACATACAAATAAGGACAGCAAAGATATGCATTCGTGGTCAGTGGGAGAAGGCCCCCCTTATGTTGGTGGTCAGTGGGAGAATGGGTACCCTTATGTTGGCGGTCAGTGGGAGAATGGGTACCCTTATGTTGGCAGTCAGTGGGAGAATGGGTACCCTTATGTTGGCAGTCAGTGGGAGAATGGGTCCCCTTACGTTGGCAGTCAGTGGGAGAAGGGGTCCCCTTACGTTGGCGGTCAGTGAGAGAAGGGGTCCCCTTACGTTGGCGGTCAGTGGGAGAAGGGGTCCCCTTACGTTGGCGGTCAGTGGGAGAAGGGTCCCCTTACCTTGGAGGTCAGTGGGAGAAGGGATCCCCTTACGTTGGCGGTCAGTGGGAGAAGGGATCCCCTTACGTTGACGGTCAGGGCGAGAAGGGATCCCCTTACACTGGCGGTCAGTGGGAGAAGGGTCCCCTTACCTTGGAGGTCAGTGGGAGAAGTTGGCACTTGAATAAACTTGAATAAACCCTGCCCACTTTGCAACCCATGTTCAATTTAAAAAAAAAAACATACCATTTGTTCGTGCTGTGTTTTGTGCTGTGTTTATGCTTGATTCGTGCCGCAAAAACAAGTTTTTTGCCGTTTTGGTTTAGGCGATATTGTGCTTTATAGTTGCTGAAACCCCACCCACTTTGCACCCCATGTTATTCACATTTAAAAAATAAATACACTATTCATTTGTGCTGATTTGTTTTGCTAAAACATTATATGTATTATATGTTATCAAACCGCACTGACTTACATACACCTAGATTGATTTGTTCCCGGTTTGTGCCGATTTGGTGGATATTGTACACGATGTTTTAGTTATTGCGTGTAGTTTTGCCTACTGAGATATTACAAATGTGTTTGGCCAGGTGTCCTCAGTCTGCACCCAGTCATTTACTGTGAATTAAAATACATCATTGTGCTGGATAGAGACAATTTGTGAGTGTTTTAGGGGAAATATAGGAAACCAATAGGGATGCACTGATACCATTTTTCCAGTACCGATAATTTCCGATATTACCGGTAAGTTATTGTGTGATCTGCCCAGGATGTACAGCTGGTTCTGTGTGTGCTTGGTGCTGTCAGCCCTGTGCCCCTTCAGCTTCTCCGGGCACTCTCTGGAATGGTTCACCGCCTTGGTCCGCACGGAGTACATGGAGCCTCTGACCAACAGCACTGTGAGTGGCCGCTGTGGGGACAGCTCCCCCAAGGAGAGCGTACAGGGTCTGGTGGGTTTCCCGACATTGGTGGTCAGTGGGAGGAGGGCCCCCTTACATTGGTGGTCAGTGGGAGGAGGGTCCTGTTAAAATTACACTAAACTCAGGAGTTAAATCTTAAAAATACATTCAAGTACCCTAACTATTAACAAAGATGTATCTTATTTGTGGATCATTCAGCTGTAGATCCTTAAACCATCTCTGAATTGGTGCTGACACTGTCATTCCTTCTGGAGGGTGACTACTTTTCTTCCCCATGGTCCCTGTGTGTGTTGTAAGGTAATCACCGCTCCAAGCTCACTCCCGTGATGTATTACAGTCTCATTATAATTTAGTAAACTAAACACAAGATTGTAGTCCATCACAGGAGTGAGTTTGGAGCAGTGGTTACTTTACACCACACACAGAGACCATGGGGAAGAAAAGTAGCCACCCTCCAGAAGGAAGGACAGTGTCAGCACCAATTCAGAGATGATTTGAGGATCTACAGCTGAGTGATACACAAATAAGATACATTTTTGTTGTTATTAGGAAGATGTAAGAAGAATGCCCCCCTTATCGGTAGCTAAAAAGGTAATTGCTAATTGCGGCTACATATCTGATTGCTCTTTTGCTCAAGGAGCCTTTAGTTACCTCATGAGGAACCATAGGTTTCCATGGAACCCTGGTTGAGTAAGGCTGACCATACACAGGAATTGGCCAAAATTCTTACAGAAGGTGGCCCTGCTGGCTCAACAAATGTTTATACTCAATCTGAGCCATGCCAACATTGCTGATGTATTTTGACAGTGGCAGCAGATGGCTGTCTGATAACAATAGCCACAGTGGGAGATTCGTCCATCCATGCTTTTAGCGTGGTCACAGGCTGAACACCAAAGTCTGTTAGGGTATCTGTTACTGTAGTGGATGTTGGCTCATAGTCCTGAGTAATTGTTTTGCAATAGTGGTGTGTGTGTGTGTTCTAGGGGCTGCTGTATACTCAACTGGTGACACGTCTCCGCTACCAAGTACTAGTCATCACTTGTAACCTTTTATTCATAGTCAAGTAACTGCTACTAGACAAATCTGGGATTAGGAAGATAGACGATTTTTTAAGGGACCGTAATATACAGGGGTACAAGTACTCCTAAGAATGAGATCCTATAGGTTGGACTTGATGGACTAATGTCTTTATTCAACCTCAAATACTATGTAACTATGACTAGCAAACGGGATGTAAATTCCAGATTTGTCCAAGCTGTATAAAAATAACGCGATTCATATTATTCGTAATGTCAATATTGTGTGTTTACAATGAATCTTATAGTCGGCTCAGGTGGTAGCTTTTAGAATTGTGACTTTTTCCAATTAATATCAGTTCTTTGTTTTAAATAAACAAACTTCTTTGGATCCACATGATGTCGGGTGTGTTTGAGGGTTTTTTTTAACCCTGAAAGGTTAGCTTGCATCCTTGGAAGAATTTCTAATGGAGCTGTCAAACAGAGATTTGTACACTATGAATATACACCAAACCGGGCCATGGACCATGCTAATGAAGATGTGCATTTGTAGTTCACTCCAAATTCAGACTGGTTCATTTAATAACTGTTAGGACTAGATGCAGCATGATGGTAATATTGGCTCATTTTCCTGTCTGATATCTAGTGCACATACAAATGTCTCTCTTATTTCTATACATGTTCTAGCTCTGATATTTCGACTTGTTTTAAGAACTTCCTTGATTGTGCTTGTTCTTCTGCCTTGTCTGACTTGTGGTGTGAAGCCCATAGGATGATCTGAGGGGAGACACTCCTGGCTTCCTATAGGGAGCCAGTACTCTAGTTTTTATGTTTGGAACATTGCAGTTGATCAATTTTCCACCTTCTGTTCCGTTTGCTTTCCAGTCGCCTTCTGTTCAGTGCCTGCAAATAGTCTTGCTCGAACAAGCATAGTGCAAGATGGCTTCAACAGAGTCCTAGAATAAGAGAAGAAAGATGCTATCTTGTGTCCAATGCTCCTAAGGTTTTCTTGAGTTTGAACGTCGCAGAAATATACTATAACATCAGCATTGTAATAGGAATACATACTAGAGTTGGTTTTGATAATGTAATCAAAGCTTACTTGGGAAAAAATCCCTTTTATGTAATGAGTGCTGCCTTCTGTCTGCCCATCACTTTCATCAACTTCCTGGATTCCCAGTGTGTTTTGTGTCCTTCCCTGCTGCTTGATGTGATGCAATCTCAATGTCTTAAAGGAGAACTATGAGGTGAGTGCTTTTCACTAACTAGATTCTAAAGACCATTCGAGCAAACGGGGAGTGAGGCTGCAGGGACCGTTCTAACAGCCAGCCAGGATCACGGTTTGGGTGAGTATACCTCTTGTTTTCACTCCCTAGATAAAACGAGCACTTAAGCCTTGCAATGCGGGGATAGCCCCCCTACAAGGGTTAAGGTTTAATTTGCCCAGAGTTTTTTTCTTTCAGTAATAGCAGTAATAGTATACCAACCATGGTTGCTATAGGTACTGTACTTTTGTTACTTGGAGACATCCTGTTCTTTGGTAAACGCATACAAATCTTAAAGGAACCCTGTCAATAGAGAGACATGGAACCTACCATTACTGTAATTTCCTTCTGAAAATGCTAGTTGTCTGGCTTTCATGCTGACCATTCATGTGCTCTGCATACTTGTTTTAGGTAAGTACCTCCAAAAAAGTACTGAATGTAGAGTATCTAAATAACAGGCACGTAACTGGCATTTTTAGAAAGAAGCTGGCGGTGACAAACCCCATATTTATTTTTTATAGTGTCCCTTTAATGACATCAAAGCTTGTCAAACTGCTACTAGGAATGTGTAACTGGGTGTTATATGAATAATTGTTTAGATGTATATCATTGTAAAACAATGTGTGTGACGACTGAGTAATATCGTTTCCTCCTACTTCAGAAGATAACATTTCAAAGTGAACTACAGTATATCATCTTTTGAAGGAGATAGAGCTTTCATTTGGTGGTATTAATAGCCACTGGTATTTTGTATTTATTACTATATAAAGGAAAGTAGAAGTAGGTTTATTTTTTCCACACTTTTTCGATAATGAAGAAACAATCTGGTACTGAAGTGGCACCAGCAAGAGCTTGTTAATGGTGCTCCAGATGGAGGAGGTGAAGGGGTTAATGTAGAAGTCTCACTCACTGAGAGGGTTCATGTGTAGAATGTGAGGGGTTAAAATGCAGGATGCAGAAGACAGGATACAAATCGGATATAGAAGCGAAGAGGGGGAGGTGAAATGGTTACGCAATTATCCCATAATCACCTCCAACCCTCATCAGTCTGCTGCTTCTCCTGTCACTGTCCAGTCACAGGGTGGGGGCGGGGCATTCAGATATGCATTTCTTCTGTGTATTTAGCTGGTGAGCTTTAAATAATGTATAAGGAGGACAGCGTGATGCACTTGAGCAATTTGTTTTGATGCTACACTGATTAGTGTGTTTGGTAAAGCAGAACTCCAGGGGAAA